GTTTGAGTCAATAACAAAGAGTCCTCTGAGTCCTCACAAGCAAATTCAAAAATGTCTTCCCTGTGCTCTTGGCTTTGTATAGTAGTATGCATGCTGTGGCTTGAAAAGTTTGTGCAAAAAACACACAACACTTTGATACCATGTTTTTTTTGTTTATCACACTATCTGTATTTTCCTACTGCATACCATATTAGATAGAATTTATGGACAAAGCAATGTTGTCATGTACAGTCCCCATTCACAGTCAGACTCCAGATAAAGAGTCTTTGAAGTGTGAGAACTGCTCATCGGGTGCTGGAAATCTTCTCAGTATGTCCACGTTTAATGCACATTTTAAATCAGTAACTAAAGGCGGTGGAGGGAGCAAAATAAGCTTTGAGGCTTTGAAACTCTGAAGCCCCCCCCATCCTTTACCCATCTATTTTCATTTTGTTCAAATTTGTTCTTCACACCTGATTGAATGAGCTTAAACTCCAGGGAAGCAGATTCACTATCGTGTGTGTGAGAATGTGTGTGCCCTGGTTGATTAACAACACGACCGGCTTGGCAGGTATAATTTGCTGCAGAAGAAGACTGAAAGGCTGTGTACAGACTTGCAGGAGAACATTGACATATGTTTGTGTTTTTGTTCACACACTCTTCAGAAGATAATTTCCCAAAAGGACCAACTGAAGTCTCTTTTTTCCCCCACCAGTGAAGATGCAGAAACACTAACCAGATACAAAATCCCCTAATAACAGAATGCTACGGTGTTAGCTGATTTCAAATGGATGATGACACTGCTGTGTACAAAGGTCACTGCCGGCAAGATGCCTAAAAGTGGCTGCACTGTCATTGACTTGACATTTTATCACAGACCCTTGTTTAAGGCCAGCACGATGAATGATGAGACCCGCATGCTGTTCCCTGACAACAAAAACAAAATCGTACCTGGTGTTGTGATAAAGGGGACATGTGCTAAATGACAATGAAACCTGATACAGTGACGCTGTGCTGACTAACAGTAACCCCTCTCGGTGTTCCTGGAAGTCTTGTTTTGTTGTCATAGACAGACGGGCAGAGCTGCACTGTGTACAGCTCACTGGAAAAAGATCCCATAAACAAAATCTACCTGAGTCACTGCCAATGAATACAATGCAGCTATGTGGTCCATGTTATTGTGACATAAAAAGTAACTAAAATAGTAATTTCTGTTTGATGGTATATTCTTTTGAATCTTCCATATAAGAGAGAAATCATCAAAGTTTAAAATAATCAAACAACCCCCCCCCCTCAAACAAAAAACCAAAAGGTACAATGTTCAGGAATGTCCTGAATGGGAGCTAGATGTACAGACTTGCACAATATAAGAGGAATATGACATGTTGCCATAACAATATGTTACCAATGGAACAAATACTAAAGAGTGCATATTAGCTATAACACACATTGTTTATCTGCTGCTCTTTATGTTTCACATGATCAATTAGCTTTGTTTTTCTTCTTCAAACCACTAAATCGCCTCCACTTAATATGTGGGAATCTGGTGGTGATGCTCTGAAAGCATGGCCGTTACACTTAGGCCTCCATCCATTAGGTCAAATGAATGCATGCTGAGTGAGAAGCGTTGCTTGTTGTCATTATACATTATGTATCATCATACATTTATTCATTGTGATAAATTCAGGCTTTTCCAATGTGTTTATTGGAAATGCTTACATTGTGATATTGCTTAATTTATATTTGTGATTTATTGTACAGCCCTTGTGTACAATATATGCACACACTGCTTTGTGGGGCATGGGTTTGAGTCTTTGGACGAGAACTAGCAAGCCTCAATTTCAACAACCTCAGCAACTGCTCGTCATGCTTTTCTCACATTACTCAGCGGGAATTACACAGGAACTTACTTTCTTCACGGTTATGTCAGGTTTACGTTTGCCTGTGATGACATAATGCATAATAAGTTAGGACATGTTCAATCAAGAAGACCCATGGGTGTGCCTTGAAAACCAGCTCCTTCAAACACAAGGTGCAAAGCTCTGTGGAGACGGATAGAAACATTCATTTCATTCCAGTTCAGTTTTTTTTTTTTAATGAATCATGTGCGCCTAAAGTTGAAGCAGCAAGTCATATGTCATCTTCAAAGCTTGCAAACAAGCAATGTCATATACTTTCATTTCTATGGGGAATTTTATGATGGTTCGATTGTCCACCTGTTGCTGTTAGCTAGTTAGCTGAGTCATGGCTCAGGCTATAAGCTTGAAGCATTGCAAATTGTTTGTGTTTAATTTGGACCTCCAGGAGGACGTTACTAGGCCTACTGTAAGTGGGAGACGAGCGAATGCAGGCAGGGAGCAGTATGAGCACCTAAAGCTGGCGACGCACCAGACAATTTTCAAATCTGATTGAAGAAAAGCGGGAGACCACAGACATAGGGACAGTTTCAACCGATTGTCATCATTATATTTCCTCCAAACGCTCACACTAGACGACTCGGCCTGACCAGGAAACCACACACCAACAGTTTGTAGTGAAATATCACAACCATGAGATCTCACAGAATCGTGTGTGATCACATGGGGCTTTAGATAAAATTTTTAAATATGGAGGACGATCGACATCCTCAGCTGGCTATCCTGGCTGTTCTGTTTTGCAGCTAAAAGCAGTCAACGCGAAAAACAATACGGATGAAATCCTGGCTGAGAAGATGGATTATGTGCAGCTTTTTACAATTTGCAAGCGCAAGCTTGAGGGTGAGTTGTCAAAGTGAGCGATATCAGGTTGGTGACACTTCCAAATCTGCCTGGCTTGCTCTCATTGGCTGCTGCTGGTATCCTGGTATCGTAGATATCAAACTCAATCGGGAGTAGTAAAATAATCGTAGTGACACCACACACTTGAGGATTATTTGGAAAAATAATCGGCTGCAACAAGCGACTAATCAGGCCACACCCCCACGATCAAGGGGGCAAAAGGTGCCCAAAATCGGCCCTAAAATCGTCTAGTGTGTAGCCAGCTTAAGTGGGGCGACATGACAACAGAGCGGCATCGAGCAGCCTTGGGGTGGGACTGTGAACACAGAGGCTATATTGATCACAGTAAAAGCAGCATACTGTCATGATGTAATAGAAAAGAGCAGGCCTATAACACAGGCAACGATAGAGACAAACGGGTTACATCGGGGTCAGCAGGATGCTATAGGAGCCAAACCCGTCATCCACGCTAGAAGATCATTGGCTAAAGGGTGCACCCAATTCACAGCGGCTCAGTACTCTGTCTCCCACCTCAGCACTTTTTCTAAATGTCAGCCCCACTCTCTCCTCCCATATCTCCAACTCTATCCACTGTCTTATCTATTAAGGCAAAAAATGTATCTAGAAAACAAAAAAAAGGAAATCGACCTCGCCAACCTCATCCTTTATTTAATACAAGAGTTACCTAAGCTAGAAGGACAGTGTGGCTGCAAAGGTAATTTTTTTCATCTTAGTATCTTCACCTCTCTATTTGAGGGGGGGAAAAAACACTGAAAACCAGTTAAAAATAATGGCTGACGTGGTGCTTAAAATGCAGTGCCTGAATTTTTGGCAGGCATCTAAACCTGACAAAATGCACGTTGTTCACAAAAGGACAAAGTTTCAGCAGACTGCCTGACATTTTAAAGCAGATCAGCGTTCATTAAAAACACTTTACAAGCTCAGATGATTACTTAACCCACCAGAACGTCAGTGGCAGCGAAGAGTCGCCTTTCAACGCGTTCCAAAATCTTTAATCAATAACTGAGTTCAAACAGTCCAAACAAGAAACATCACGCAGCTCTCTCGGTCACGACAGATCAAGTCTCCCAATGTACCGCTTTGTAAGAAACAACCAGGAGGAATACATCCCCCGCCTGTTTCATTCTCTCTTTCATCCTGTTCCCTCTCCCTCTCCACTCCCCTCTGTCTCTTATGGACCTGATGGCCTCTCATCAATAATACACTCAAGCATCCGTCTGCTTCAGCAGCTTCAGACAACAATAAACAGCCTCTCCACGCTGCGCTGTGAGTGTGGTCGTGCGTGTGTGCGTGTGTGTGTGTGTGTGTGTGTGTGTGTGTGTGTGTGTGTGTCTGTGTGTGTTTTTGTGTGTGTTTTTGTGTGTCATGCATGTGGCTCAACCCCCACCCTCTCCGTCCTCCTCTGCAGCTCTGCTGTGGGTCACTGCTCCATCTAATCAAGAGCACAACAAAGGTAACAGGATCTATACTGTGTGTGAGAGTGTGTTCACTGACTGCTGCTACTGTCACACTGTGTTCGCAAGACCACACTGTCTTTTCAAGTTACTGATATATAGTTTATGTACTATGCACAAATAAGCTGAATCTGCATTTTTCTTAGTTATAGATAAATTTTAAAAAAACACAGTGGTGCCTTTTTAAAAAAAAAAAATTTCACTGTGTTGGATTTGCAGCCCAGAACTTTACTTTGACATGACAGAGCTGCTGATCAGTAGTGGATTATTTAGCAGCGAAATCATCGGTTTGTCACGACTGCTAGAGCAGCTGAACAACACCAAAAGGTCGCTCCTGATGTCTTTCACGTTGCTGTGTTGTCAAAAGTAAAGTTACATAGAAAGTAATGTTATTCCCTCCATATGACATGGATTCAACCCCACACCTTACAGGAAGATGTCACTGCATTATCGGTGGCTTTTCCCCAGATTTGTCCATAGAGATTAGGACCATTCATTCAATCTCTATCTTTTTTTTTTTTAATTGGCTTAATCAACACTTTTTTTGAATTCAGGACTTTTGCAGTTGAACAAATTCAATCCAAGGTCCCAATAACCTACCAAGGCCAAACAAGCATTTCCTGGGTCCCACTTTATGTTAGGCAGCCATGCTCCAGGTTCATTTCTCAGTTCATTTCTTTCATCAATGAGTTAAATATTTTAGGGTTTGCATTGTTACCATGATGAGTGTGTGTGTGTGTGTGTGTGTGTGTGTGTGTGTGGGGGGGGGGGGGGGTCACTCCAGTCTTACCCAGTCCTCGAAGTGCTTGCTCCCGTTGTGCAGGATGTCCTCAAACTGGATGATGCAGTTGGCCACGAAGTCGTCGTAGCCAATGGGCGCGTCGTGGAAGACGGACAGCTCGATCCTGCGGCCGTCGTGGACCTCCGTGGTGAACTCGTCGTTCCACGCGGGGCTGTTGGTCCTCTGCTTGGTGGAGGTCTGACCCACGCGGGAGTCGTCCACGTTGAGAGCGATGTACGTGTCCAGGAGGAACGTCTGGGTTTTGGGGCCGACGGCGTGACGTAGGGACCAAGCTGTGGGCTTGAGGTCCAGAGCCTCGCGGATCTTGATCTTCAGCTGCCCGTTGAAGATGACCATGTTGATGAAGAAACGCTCCCAATGTCCGACTTGAAACTTCAAAGCGTGAATTTAGGCCCCTTACAGTGAAAGAACCTGACCTTTCACCACAACCACTTCACGGAAAATAACTCATGTAACGGTATCAATAAAAGGCTCTGTTCAACCGGTGGTACCCTATGGGCTCCTGTGATTCCTTCTTAGTTGTCTGAGCCAAAATAAATCCTTATTTTTCTCTCGCTTTCACGCGTTACCATGTCTTGAAATTCCCAAAGACTTTCCATACAATAAATAAATAAACCGCAGCAGCAGAATGTCGAGAGTTAATCCGGGGAGGGGGGGCGGGGGGAGCTCTTCTTAAAAGTGAACGGAAGAAACATGAACCGGCAGTCCAGAGTTAGCAGAAAACATCCGAGCAGAGGCCCCAGATGTGACTCGACATGTCATGGCTTTTTTTTTTTTTTTTTGTTACCTTCGAAGTATTTAAACAAAAGCTCCGTTAGCTGTAGCGGGACACCCTGGAAGCACTAGCCCGTGTTGCATTGCACCGTGTGGTGGGTGGGAGGCTCCCGGCGCCTTGCTGGCAGCCGCCGCGGTGCATCGGGGATGTTCCAGCCGGACTGCTGCGGCCAGACAGCGGCGTGAAACAACCGCAGGAAGGGGCGGAGAGGAGGGGCAGCTCCACGGGGGTGGGTGTGGAGGTAGCGGCGACAGGGGTGTTCCTGTTGCTCGGTGCAGCACCCCGCGGCCTGATTTCTCCCACTGCTGTTGATATTAACTTCCCGAGGACATACCTCAGGCTGCTTCCCCCTCGACACTGGTCTGTGTCTCAGTCCCTCTCTCTGGTGCAGGAAATGCGAGAAGAAAAAAAAAAAAAAAAAAAAAACACGTCAGATTTATCGGAGGCTGGTGTGACAGACGCAGCCCAGACAAGGGAGGTGTTTAGGAACAGCTGGGCTGGGAGAGAGAGAGAGAGGAGAGAGATGGATGAATGTTGGATTTAATAAATTAAATGGACAAAGGTGCAAGGCTGTTCTTCCCAAAACTGTTGGAATAGCAAAGGAACAGGTGTGAAGTGCACTTCTGCGAGCTGAAACACTCAGTAAAGGAGGGCTTAGATGATGAATTAAGGGAAGGGAACATAATATTTCAAATATGATGTGTAGCCATATTTTCTGCATACTGTGTGCAGCACTGAGGCAATAACCCAAATAATAGCAAATAGCCTCTGTAGCCTAACAGAAACTATTTTCCCTTGATTTATGCACACGTGGAAATTTGGGATATTTTGATTTGATCGGTAATAGGCTACTCTTGCTTTTACTACTGTAAAATAATATAAGCTCTAGGAGCATACACAATATTTTGTGCTTGAAATTAAGGCTATTCACAGAGGGTTCAAATTCAGTTGTTTTAATGTTGCAGTATGTTACATAAAAAGTTGTTTTCCCGTTGGCTGGTTCTGATTCCTTTTAGTTTGTACTTAGAGCATTGTTCTGGTCAGTAATTTCATAAATGTTGATCAATTCTGCTGCTACATTTTAAAAGATCATGTTCACCCACTGTAAAATAACCATCTTGAATCACCACCACCAGAGTGAAATCAAATAGTCTGCTTGTAAGAGGCCGGAGAGAGCATGTGACTTGAACAACACAGAAGAAAATTGATTTCCTGCATTCTTCTGTACAGAGAGATGCTTTATAGTGGAGTAACATAATTTATAGGCCTATACAACACTCCAGAAGCGCAGATGTCTAAATGTGATTTAAAGTCAGTTTAACGATATAAGACAAAAGGGTCAGACATCTGCTTAATGTTCCAGTAAATACTGCCGGGTGATGAAACTCACCACGTGCACAGGAATGTCTCTTAGTGACATCAGAGCAGGAACACAGTGTACCTGACAGACTGAGCTCAAGGCCAACAGTGATTCACATTTCCATTCTGTCATTATCCGCATCCACACAGTGTGCAGCATACAAAATATCTGCCTGGCAACTCGAGATCAGTGTCTAACAGGGAGGGAACATTATGTTGAATTATTACACTCTTTTGTGATTTCGGACCAAACAGTTCTGGAGACTTTTTGAACAGGAACTATCCACTATAGGGAGTTCCCTGAGAACTACACACGATGAGGACTTTCTTCTGTCTGCATTCGCATTCATTGCATTTAAAAAGGCACACACACCAAAATGGAGCGTTCTGAGAGAGCTGATTTATACAGGGTCACAAATCTCCTCTCTTGCATGATTCATGTTATTTTCTGACCAAAGCACAGCACAGCTGTTTCATTTAGACCACAGGGGACTGTTTGTAAAGGAAGAAAAGAAGTATAATATGTCCTCTTTAAAGCCTTACACATCAGCATTTAGTCAAGATCAGCTCCTCCGACTTTGGCTGTCTTTAAGTTAATAGAAATGTTATTGTTTCCTGAGATCTCTTTACAGCTTGAATACAGTTGCATAATTAAAAAATACATTACCAGATTTGTATTTTGTTTACATATAAAAGAAAGTTGGTAATGTGTGGAGCATGATTTATATGAGATGAAATGGTTTTGATTTAAGAAAATCTAAAACTTGAAACCAAAAAATCTTGAATTATAAAGTATTAAAATAGTATAAAACTATTGGTATTATAAAGTTAGCTTAACTGTAAAAGGTAAATCTTGGAAAAAGGGAAAAAGCTTGAAAATGATGTTAAACAGCTGCAATGCTGTGACGACATATCCAGTATGATTCAGTAAATCCCTGAACACTGCTGACCCCTGCTGGTGATTGCTTGTCACGCCAACCCTTTTCCAGGTAGAACTTTACAAATGAAATTTAACAATGGAGCATAAACTGAAGAAGAAAAATCGCCATAAGTCCCCTTGTGCCATGATTGTAGGTTATCTTTGGCTGGGTAGCTAAATCTTTCAATTTTGCTTATGCTAACACTAATGTCAAAAACAAAAACAACTACACTTATGGATTTATCATTGCTGTGAAGTCACAGGTGAAACTATGAACATGAACAATGGGTTTGATCCCGTTAACCGACATGAGTTGAATCTGTGAGGTGAGCTGACAGGTCAGCTAAAGCCTTTTTAATTTGCTCTAAGAGACTAAAATTCTCTTCTCCAAAGATTGGATGTTCTCATTTAAAACTAAAACACTCAACAAATAACCCTGCATTCACGTCGTGGCAAAATAAGGCAAATGTATTAGAGCCCCTTTAAACATGAAACTATCGGGGAAAAGACAGACCCATAAAATATTGATTTGATCTCCAGAAACCTTACATAAATGTTTGCACTGGGTATATTTCTGTCATAGTAGATTGACTTTCTGAGCAACACACATGGTCTGTGTATCATCCATGCTATATTTTAAAAGTTTCAAAGTTTTCTACCTGAGGCAAAACATGTAGACCTAATTCAAAATCTGCCCAGGAGTGTATTCATGGTCTGTGAGAGATATTACGTTTATTTCAGTATGCAAAGCCTATAGTATCAAGAAAAGATATTACTGTGTTTCATAATAATTTTAAAGCGGCAAGATCATCCTGTCTCTCCCTTTCCCGCCTTGTTTTCTCATTAAGCACATCAGCCAACGTGTGTCTGAGCACTGCAGATAGCAATCGATCACAGACCTGGACAATGTCCACATCGTGCCTCCCTCTCAGTTTAAATCAAACAAACGTGGCTTGGCAACAGCGGACAGGATCATGCTGTATAGTTATCATCACACTGTAACTATGATCACACTACGGCAGCAATGTCTATTTGACTCAGGGAGATAGTTGCTCTGAAGCTTGAAAAGACATTTTTTCATGTTTAGAGGTACAAAGGAAAAATAGTTTTTAACTGGTTAGTTACCATTAAAGTGTTTAAGATGCCTGGACAACGGTTAAACTGTAGCAGAGGGAAAGTAGAGGCCCCCAGATGTGACTCTCCATGTCATGGCTTTTACCTTTGAAGTATTAAAGAGCTCATTAGCTGTAGTGGGACGCCCTGTTGCATTGCACTGTGCGGTGAGTGGGAGGCTCTAGGGTATTACAACTTTGTTGTTAATAGTTTATGAAATAGTCACAAAATCATAAATACTGGTATGTTTTCATTTGTGTACTCGTAGTGGAATGTTTTGGTGGTAGACAACGTGAACTTGTACTTCAGTTGGAAATATTTCATCCATACAACACTAAAGCCTTTCAGTGTCAGTCAGCATTAGCGGCACAAAGCCTCCACTGTCTTTTTTTCCCATTACCCAGGAGACTGTTGCTTGTGTCTTTAACTTTTGTACCTAATTTCAAATGACAAATGTGTGCATTATTTACATTAGGGACCAAAAACTTCTTCTTGATGAAAAGCCCATGTATGTTTGAGCCAGCCATGACCCTGACTGACATCTAAGCCAATATAAATGACTATATACTTACCTGAGTGTTAAAAGCCATTTTTTTTGCACAGGCAATATACTTCCAGTATGTTGTTTTCATAGCGACTGATTTGAATTTAATTACATGGCTATATAGCCATGGGTGGTTCTAGGCAGGGGCCAACACGGGCCAGTGCCCCTCTAACACGGAGCTTGGTCCCCCCTGTAGCCACCCCTCCAAAAGGAAGAGCCCCCCCCTCATAAAACATACACAGTATTTGATTTAACAACCGGACTCACAATGTAGTATTAAATACTGTAACTGAAACAAATATTAATCATGGTATTTAATGACGTGGTATTTAATGATGTGCGCTATTATTTGGCATAATATATATTTTTTAAAGCGATTATCTTTGTCTATTTTTAACCTGGGTTTAATGTCCCCCTCTGACAAAACAACTGGCCCCAGTTTGGCCATCTGAGTAAAAGTGGTCTTGAACCGCCACTGTATATATCTTTAACTGCTTTTTGATACCTGCCTGTTGTATCTTTACTTACTACTTGTATTTGCATTGTCCTATGTTGGAGTTATTTGCTCTTGTCACCCAAGTTTTATCGTATATATCTGTATTTTTGGTTGTTTTTTTGTTTTGTTTTGTTCCTTTACTAATGAACTTATGTTAATGAGTTAATTCTATGATGCCAATAACATCTTGCAAAGGGACTGCCGATGAAAATGAGCCTTTCGGCCAATTCGGGTACATTTACATCCGTCTGAATGTTAATTCATTTACACTGTCCCTTTTCAAATAAAAAAAGAATTAAGATAATTAAATAATTAATTTATTACTCTCTGTTTGGCTTGACTGTTGATGTTGTCTGTGTTATTGTCCTGACTTCCTGCCTTTGCTTTGTCTTTCAAATTACTTTGTAAACATCTGTTTTTAAAGGTGTGTTGAGGCTGTATGTTTCCCCCTGCTGTTTGTCTCTCCTCACCTTCCTGTTGCTCTCAGCTCTGCCCAGGTGAAGCTCCTGATCACCTAACGAGGTACTCCTGGCATCAGTTCTTAAAAGGCCGTGCAGGCTTCAGGAGAGGAGAGGCATTTGGAGTTGGACTTCTGTGCCTCTCAGTCAGGGATTATCTGTTGTGGTGTTTAGTTTTTGGGGTTGATCTTTGTTATCATTTAGTCTATCTGTTGATAATACATTCCTTAGTTTTAACTTTGTGAGGGTGTTTTATTGGGTCAATTTGTGTTTTGCTGTTAATGTTGCTGTTGTAATGAAATTAACAGACTGCTTTGAGACGGGGTTGAGTAATAACTGCTTAATAAATAGCCTTCATGACTTGTTTATACTGTTGTATGTATGTCAGACTTGTACAGGTTGGATAACAGAATATTTAAGTTGTACTTAGCTCTTCAAATTTGCCTACAAATCACAGGACAACTGACCGATGTGGAAGAGACTTTAAAACTGAGGCA